ACAATACGTGGGAACCCTCTTGTGCCCTAGAGTTTTCTCTCCCAAGGCTGTTTCGATCAAACCTTGACAGATCTGAAATCTGGGAGTTTGCACCATCAGCTTCATCTTTTCTCTTTGATCTGCACTTGGAGACATCAGATCTACTTGAAACTCTACATCTAGTGTCGCCCAGAGGAGTTCTTGTGATCCTCTTCAGCTTTGTTGAATTTGGTTTGATTTAAAAAGGGTTTTATCCTTCTCTTGGTTCAGCATACTGTGACAGTTTCCTTTTCTGGACATTTGATCGAAATGTACCTCTCTATCATCATCTCTTCTTCAATTTCTGATATAATATCTTGGAAATCAGCAATTTTCTTTATGATAATGGCTTCAAAAAGAGTAGATGTCCTTCTTGTTAAGTTTAATGGATCGAACTATGCCTTGTGGAAGTTTAACTTCTAATTTCATATTGAGGCAAAGGGCCTTTGGGGTTATTTAGACGGAACTGTACCTAAACCTGATGGCTCAGATGTTAAGGCTTTAAATCAGTGGAAAATTGACAATGCAAAGATTGCACCATGGATCCTTGGATCCATTGAGATTGGCATTGCCATTCCTATGCGAGGTTATAGAACAGCTTATGAAATGTATGAATATCTAAAGAAGGTATATCAGCAATCAAACACCTCTAGGCAGTACCAAATAGAGGTTGATACCTTCTCATATCATCAGGGAGAGAGAAAGGTCCAGGAGTACTATGCAGGGTTTATTAACCTCTGGACAGAATATGAGTTAGTACACATGGGAAAGAATCCTTCGGATTGTTGTGTGAGGTATATGAAGGAAAACTTTGATAGAAGGAAAGTTATGCATTTCCTAATGCATCTCAGACCTGAGTTTGAAGTTGTCAGGTCTAATATCCTGAGCCGAGGAACTCTTCTTGATTTAGATACCATTCTTGGGGAAATTCTGAGAGCCGAAACCAGATTTGCTACATAGACCACACTTGATGGGAGGAAAGACTCCAATATTGATGTTGTTTTCCTGACAACCAAATCAAACGGGAAGAAGGATTTCTCCCGAGTGGTTGTTTGATACAGGACTAGCAAACTGGGGAGGTGAAGGGGAAGGGGCGTAAACTGGGTCAACTATTTACTCTGGAGTTTGAGAAGAAGAAAGCTTATTCAGTTTCCCCTTCTTGTTTGCTTTCTACTGCATCTAGTTTTGAACCTTTTAGTTGTAATAATGACTGGAACTTGTGGCATAAACACCTCGGTCATCCTTTTAAAAAGAAACTTGATTATCTATTTGCTTCTGGTAGTTTACCTAATGCTACTGCTTCTTTTAAGAATGTTAATAAATCTTGCATTACTTGTTGTTTGAGCAAAAGTAATATTTTACCCTTTCCTTCTCCTTCTGAGCATGCAACAATACCTTTTTATTTAATATATAGTGATGTTTGGTCATCTCTAGTTACTTCTAGATTGGGATTCAAATATTTTGTTACTTTCATTGATGACTACACTCGCTTTATTTGGATTTATTTCCTCCGCAAGAAATCTGAAGTTTATCATAAATTTAAACTTTTTCAAGCCTATGTTGCCACCCAATTCAAAGGAAAAATATGTATCCTACGATCTGATTCAGGGGGAGAGTACTTTGATGGGGATTTTCAAGCTTATTTGAAAGAATAGGGAATCCAATCCCAAAAATCCTATCCTAGTACTCCACAACAAAACGGAGTAGCAGAAAGAAACAATAGACACACCTTGAGTGTAGTTCGGACCCTTCTACAAGACTCTCATGTTCCTTCTTGGTTTTGGGTGGAGGCAGCCAGCACTACTATGTATCTAATAAATCTTGTTCCATCATCTGTTCTGAATAACACCTCTCCATTCTAGTCCCTGTTTCACAAACCTCTTAACCTATCTTGCTCAAAAGTTTTTTGTTGTGTTTGCTTTGTTCGTCTTCCACCCCATGAACACACCAAGTTGACTGCACAGGCAGCGTTATGTGCCTATGTGGGGTACATATACGCTTCAAAATTACATACTGCATCAATACATTTACATTTTTTGTTTCATCATTAACTAATCAATGAAACTCTATTGATTTAGCAATAGCAAGTATATAGAAAAGTTATATTTGTTAGAAGAGGTAACAACTCGTGCCTCCTCTTGGGTCTACTGTATTGCCTCATATTTCTGTTTTAATAAATTATATTCATTCATCAAAAAAAAAGTATATAGAAAAGTTTTACATTTTTTATGAGTTACAGGAGAAAAGATTACTATTGCATGAATAAAAGTAAGCTGCTTGGATCAGCCCCTATCAAGCACCCATTTTTACAAAAAAAAAGTCCCTTGATTTGCCTTGCCGGCTTGGAAATTGAAGGCCCCGAGTACAACTCCACCCAATTTTAACTCCATTACTCGCTACTCATCTTCTTAACAGTTGGTTATTCTTCTCACTCACCTGAACGAGGTATTCACTATTCAGGTTTGAAGCTAGCTATCTAATCTCCCGTAGAAGTGTACCAGTATATCCAATGGATTTATCCCTTTCCTTGCATCATCCACCATCCACCCTAAGATCACTTTACAATTTCTTTCTACATCCGACCTTCTCAGCTTCAAGGAGAAGTATCGACACAGATCCCAGTACAATTACAAATTAGACACTTTCTTTGTTTTCTTATAACACCTTAAAAGTTTTAAAATGCTCTTAAGTGGAAATCGCAATTTACCTAATTTTTAGTTTCTGAGAGACAGAAATAAAGAAATTGAACTCGCAAATATATTTTGATATGAGTATGCATTCAAAGCTATTGGTTACAAAAATAGGACTTTGAATTACTGTAGGAACGTAAAGTTAAAGCAGGATTTCAACCTCGCCATGTTAATTTATCGTCGGTCACAGAATAACAACTAGAGTTTCTTTCCCATTTGCAGCTTACATCGTGTTGAGCATAAACAGTTTTCAATATGTTAGCATTGCTAAAAAAATTTAACAAGCAAAGTTACAAACTTCAGGACAATGGTGTCAAATCAAAATAGAGTCCATTGCCTACAATTACAAGATCAAGTAACTGAGATTCAAAACGCCATAAATACGCGGCAAAGAGAGTGAATATATACCTGAGCCAACAAGCTGACTGCATGGCAGTCGTACCCATGCTGGGAGAAGAAGGGAAACCAGTGTTCGACCCAACACCAAGCAGCGTGATGGATTCCATGGACAAAAACCAATGGTGGATTCATAGGTTTATCCTCATTTGGGTCATTTCGGGTACCCTTTTGGAAAATAACCTCCATGTTCAAACCAGAGGGGAGCTCGTGGAACAGACGAGACTGACCTTCTTTGAGCTGGTACTGGACTCGCATTGCAAAGGCTCTGCCATGGACTGCGACAGGCTTTACGGTCCTTTGGATGTGAATGGATTTTATGCGAAGGAGAGCGTTGGTGTGGATTGAGAGAGGAGCAGTCATGATGGTTGCTGAGTGCTGGCTGGTGAGGCTGGAGGCTGCCCTCTACTACTAGTCACTAGAGGCCGTGTACCAGCCCAAGAGGTGATGTTCATATTCCTTCAGGGCTAGTTTTGGGGAAAAAGATTGGAAATCTAGGTTGACACGTTTGTCCACAGTGCTTTCTTTGTGCGACACGTCCGTCCATAATTAGAATATGAACCAACGCGTCACATGAAGAGAACCTGTGTCTGTAAGCTGTGAAGTGTGAACAGCATAGTTTGTCAGTTTGTCTAACGTGAAGCTTTGATCGAGCTGCTTGCCTGCTTTCACTGATTTTTTAGTGCTTTATCAAAAGCAGCTCAACCAATGCTTCAACCCTTTTAGGAGGGCTTTCACGTAGCAGCTTCTGGCATTACAAGGTGAGCTCCCAAACAAACAAGCTATAACTAATGTTTGGTGAAAACTCAGAAAGCCCAAAATAGATATCTTACAGCTAAAAATCCAACTCTAGTGATTTTCTCCAAGAGCCCATATGGAGGGCTTCTGCATTGATTAAGCTGCGTTGACGGAGCAGCTTTGGAGAAGTTATAAAACTAGCTTCATCAAAAAATTGAGTTCTCAGTTCACCGACAGCATTTTGGGCTTTTCCGGGATCATTCTCAGCTAAACGACAGCATCTTTGGGCTTTTGGGGGGTTTTCACCAAACACAACTTTCTGTGTAGGGCCTAACATGCAACGCTGGAAACTGCTGCAGGAAAACCCCCCAAATGGGCACTAAAATTCTTTTATAACTTCAAAAAAAATATATTCTATGAAATCCACATGTCCACCACATTATTGTAGATGGCAGTATATTTCTTCATATATATAATTTATTAAAATATGCATTTCTTATTCATACCTAATTTATTGTTATTTCAACCTTAGATTTAGTATTCCTATATTCATAGAATTTGTAAGATTTTCACCGATATTTCCAAATATATCCATAATATTCCAAAATACATGTCCATTTCCCAACTTACCAATATACCGATATTTTGAACCTTGATTAATACAAATCTTGCAATTGTAGAGGTAAGCATGCCTTCAGTGAATTCATCTTTGCTTGTACATAAACCAAAGGAATGATGTTCAAGCAAAAGGTTGACCCCTTAAAATGCAGCTTGCAAGAGACAAAAGAGAGCATGCCTCTGGGAATGAGATCACAAATGGACCAAGGAGGCACCTGTTGGATTCCTTGATCGAAATCCCTGTTCCCTCTAACATCAAATAAATACTGTACAATGTATTTCTCACCTTATCCCCTATTAAGGACAGTGTTTCCCTGCTTAGCCAACAAGAAAATTAAAAGACGGAATTGCCACTACAACAAAACACACAACCAGATGGTAAATTCTAATTCCGGAAAATGTCCAATATGTAAAGTCTTTCCTGCACAAATCTGTCTTGAACCTGCCAAGCAGGAAGAGATCATGGGGACAAGCTAACCCCTTACTAATTCCCTTGTATCACCAAAACTTATCTTGCATTTTCATTCATTTATCCCACAATAAATTCAATTGTTTTTTTCAATGTTTTTTCAACTGGTACACCAGACAAGTCAAATCTCAACAACCAAGGATGATTACATTTAGAATGACAAAATGAAGCATTTCATCCATTTCTTAATCTTCGAATGTTACAATGGCAGAAGCAGCCAACATTCACATTTTGAGCATGCTACCAAAGATGAAGCAGGAGAAAAAAGACACTAAACATTAGTAGGCCCCATAAAGGAATTACATTGAATTCTGTTTATTCAAGCTATTCAGCCATGACAGGATCATATCAGCTCCCTTTCCCCATGAACAATCCAGCATCATATCATGTGCAACCCCTTTGACACAGACTGGTGGCACACCATAAAACCTTGCTGTTTCATTGAGTCCTTCATCATCCTATAATCATATAATTTTAACCACATGACACATACACCAAGTGAGAATACACGAAGGGCCATATTAGTTTGAAAAACCTGGACCATTAAAGTTTTAACCAAATAAATAAACACCGGAATATCTTGAGACCCAAAAATAGACAGCAATGAGAACAGAATCCATAACGTATGATTGTAAAACCACAGACTGCAAATGCAGCTGCGCACTTTCAAAAGAAGCAGAGATAGTTTCCACAACATATTTCCATTTCCACTTCCATGGGCAGTGATGAAATTTTATTGGAACCAGTGATTTAAAAGGCATGCCTAAGTGCAGCTGTGCACTTTCAAAAGGTGCACGCCTGGTGTACCTTGCACTTCAGCCCAGGTGTGCACCTTTTTTTGCGCTTTTTGTTCTTTCCCAAACCTAGTGGCTGGGCAGGAGGCTCTGCCCCAGGACCCCTGGCCAAGCCCCTTGAGGCAAGCCCAAACAAGTCCATGTTTGTTCATTCATTCATCCTAATAAAATATCTTCTAAAGACAATTAAAATTATACTATCATTTTTTGTGGAGATTAAGAATTTAAGACCCTAACATGGACTTTGTTTGGGCTTGCCTCGAGGGGCTTGGTTGAGGAACAAAAGAGATTGAAGTTTTTAAAACATTTACATGTTACGTTTATGTATTTTAATTTTAGATAATAGGTTTTTTAAAACACTTATTTTACATTTTAAGTTTATACTTTTAATTAATATTATGTTTAATATTTATATTTTTTAATTTTTTTGCAATTTTTTAGATTTTTAAAATTTTTAGCTTTTTCTTTGTATTTTTATGCCTTGCTTTGAAAAGGTGTGTGCCTCGCCTTGTGCCTTGTGCCTTGTCTCGGGCGCAAATTTTCCCTTGCGATTTTAAAGCACTAATTGGAATTGACATATTCCTCGGTGAACACTACCAAAACTATAAGGAGTAAATGAAATAGTACTATAACATAAGTTGGAGACAATATTGGAGAAATGGGAAGTAACAATGTTATTGCCCGCCTAACCTACATGGTTACCACTTTGAGCTAGTTCAATATTCATTTCAAATATGATGTTAAATATTAGTTTTTTTTTTTTTTTGTGTGTGTGTGCAATAGATCATTTGGTTGATCTATTACAACCATTTACATTTTCTGAGTTTAAAATTTTCTTTAGCTCATTCTATCATCAAGTTTTGAATCTTAAGGTTTACAGGAGATCAAGGTTCAAAGTATCAATACAATACGGCCCCATATCGGGCATATCGTATCATATGTTTGGGTACCCAATACACCTGCTTATAGGTATTTTCAGGAACCTAAATTTTTATTGAATAATATATACAAAAAGATATACAAAATCTAAATTTGAAAAAAATAAAAGGTGTATGGTTTAAAGTATCGATACACCCTTGTTGATACACAAAGGTGTATCGATACTTTAAACCATGTACAAGACAACTTTAGAATGTATTCTTGTGTCTATAACTTTAGTTTCTTAGCTTTGTTTAATAGTTTGGAACAAGATAATAATTTAAAAAGGCATGCCTATACTTCTTTTATCATTTTATAAAATACCATGCTATATTTTTGCATATTTACAATGTTTCCACCATGTCTATAATTTTTACAATATTTCCATACGATATTTCCGACATTTCCTATGTATTTCCTATATTTTTTTGATCAGCAACACAAAAATTGATTCTTTAATTTAAAATGAAGATATACAACAAGAAGTTGTGGGCATATGACCAACATTTCACCGACACGAACATTTTAAACCTTGCACATTAAATTAAAAGGCAAGCATGAAATATGTCACAAGCTAGTAGTTGAAGTGAGCTATAACTTACCACAATGAAGTCATCACTTGCACCCAAAACAAGGACCTGAAGAGTTGATCTTGGTATTGAAGGAACAGGCAATGATGCATTAAGCTTTCTCAGATCAAATAGTGGCAGCCTTGAGCTTTCCTTCATTAATTCCTGATAACTGTAATAAAACAGAGTCAGTTCCAAGCCTTCAACTCCAAGATGACTACAACTGGAACCATTTTAGTGAAACCTCTTCTCTTCTTGGACTAATTGTGTCAACAGAAATAATTGATCATGGTGGAGGTTGCTTAACTTGCATTTTAGCAGAAACTTGGCTCAGATGATCATTAATGAGAGGGGGTGTTCTACAACATGGTTGTTTTGCTTTTGAAAACAAAAACCACTGTCACATCAGCAAAAACAATATAATTATGCTGATGTGACAGTTGCTTCCGTTTTCAAAAACAAAACTAACCATGTTGCTGAACACCCCCAAAGAGTACAAAGTTCCTCAGGCATGGCAAAAACATCATTTAGAAAAATTAACACGTGCACTGAAGTGAAACATAACATGCAAGGTTGTATTTTTTTTTGTGTTGAGAGAATATTAGAACATGCAAAGTTGTAATATAGTTTCAAGCTCCCCAGTGGTAACATTCAAAAAATGTTTCACATGGAAAGCAATCAATAAACAACTGTGTTTGGATTCGACCGGGTTACCATTTAGGACATCAGACATCTGAATTTGGTTTGAACTCAAATATTTGGATTCTAGGTTGGACTTGGATCAGATTTGGATATTACAACCAACCTACTTAGTGAAATCCATTAGGATATAGTTTTAACGGATGATACTCAAACCTACAAGTTCTAGATTAAAAATCTATAGTTGAACAACTCTACTAGTCAATAATCAATATACAAAACTAAAATATATAAAGCAGTATTTTTTAATGTAAAATAAAATTTATAAAAAGAAAAAGAAGATTACAAAGAAGGTTACCAGATGTCACCCAAGAGGAGAAAGAAAAACAAACCTACTCCAAACCTACAACTCAACCAAACAAAAAACAACACTTCAAACACCAAACTCGCCGCTCAAAAGAAAGACAACAAACTTTCACTCGAGCCCAAACAAAACATAAAAACCAAGCAAATCAGCTTCCACCCAACAAAACTCCAACAATCAAAAAACAGACCCAATCCAAAACCGGAGATGCCATTTCTCAATTGAATGACTTCAAGCATTAACCTCCCCACCTGTTCTTAATAACTTTCTTTGTTTTCTTTACATTCTTAATTGAATAAACCTCCTTTCAATCCATCAAAAACTTTTGACACCAGAACATTTCAATGTTTTCTTTGACTTATGAATCATCTCACTGCAAGCAGTATCTTCTTGAGCTCCTTTGAATCCATAGAATTCTCATTAATTCTCTCTAACTTGAACACTCCATTCTTCTCAAAAATCTGATCTGCAACCAAATCTTCACCCTTTTCATTTAAAACCCCTTCAGGACCAAATAAACCTTATTCTATCTTGAGCCTCTTCAATGCTTAACTTAAAACCATCATCACCAGATTCCAGCTTTTCATTCTCTTGACCCTTTTCCACCAATTCTTTGAATGCCTTCCTAGCAAATTCTTCTCCCCCGAGAAAGAACAAGCCCAACGTTTTTTTTTTTTTTTGAGAAAATTTAACCAGGATTCATTAAATGAAGAAGAGGTACATGAGAAGATGTACAAAGCAGGGGAAGAACCCCTACAAATCACAAAGGAGGAGGCTTGTCGTTATACAAATGCTCCAAATACACACCACATTTGGCTAAACCATCCGCAGTATGATTGTGTTCCCTAGGAAATCCAAACTAATTTTACATTTAAACAGACCAAAGAATCCCAAGCCTCTTCCAAATAGTGACTCAATCTCCAAGGTCCCCCCTCTTTGTCTCTTAACCATTTTATAGTATTTGCTGAATCACCTGCAATGACTAAATTCTGGATTCCCAAGTTTTTTATTATTCTGATTCCTGTGAGAGCAGCCATCACTTCAGCCTTTGTGGAATCAGCCAAACCAATCGGACTGCTAAAAGTCCAACATATGTTGCCCCTTTCATTCCTTACTGTACCTCCAACACCAGCTAAGCCAGGGTTACCTAAGGCACTTCCATCGAAGTTAAGGGTCATCACTCCACTGATGAGGTCGGGATGCCTCAAGGATGTTTGATGGAGGTGAGAGAGAAACAGAAACTTATATTATTAATAATAAAACATGATTACAAACAGCACTCCAGGGAGAGATAAAATGACTTAACTCTCCCCCAGAGAACCAGAAAAGAAAATTACAAATTATCCCAAAACATTTGACAAGCCCAATGTTTTATTCACTTCCATTTCTTTTTCACCACCTCTTCAATATCTTACATTCTTTTTATTGGAATGCCTATCTTACTTTCACTTGTGTGAGTCTCATCAATAATCACCTTTGTTTGGTTGGTCTTCCCCATTCTCAATCTTGACCTCATCATTTCCTTCACCAAATAAAGATATTGTCTTATATTTTTTCTTCATCTCAAAACTTTTAACCACCACTACATCAACATCACCAACTACATGTCCTTTCTGCCTCCCCTTATCTCCTTTAAAAACATCGCCTTCCTCAACATCCATCTGACTTCGATCACCTCCTGAACAAATTTTCCACATCAGACTCCAACGCACCTGACTTGAACAACTCCTGATTAACCACACCAATTACATCATCTTCCTTAGTGCTTACTACTTCCTCTCCTTAAAACTCCAGTCAACCCATCCTCAATTTCCCCCCAAGACTTCAATCAAAACAAGTTTCTCCCTCTCCTGCTGATCAAAACTACTCCCCCCATTAGTCTGACCCTCTACCAGTATACCCTCAACTCAATTTCCTTAGGCTCATATGCTAAACCACCTTCACCATCAGAATGATCAGAAAAGTTTACCACTGCATGAAAATACATCCCCACTTCCCTCATTAATGTCGCCAATATTATTCATGACAAGATCATGCTCACTTCAATACCGCAGTTGACCTCCACATTTTCCTCCACTACTAGAAGCTTGAGCCCTAATGAATTCTCACCAAGCCCCACAAGTCCCACAATGCTGACCTCTGTCTAGTCACTGAAGACTGCTTGTAAAGACAAATTTGAAGGGTCAACATCCAAATTTTGGGTTTCCCCTGAGGTTGCTTGTAAAGACAAATTTGAAGGGTCAACATCCAAATCTTGGGTTTTGCCTACCCTGGGTGGGTGTGTGGACGAACAGGTGGAAATACTTTTATAGCAGTATTATTGGATTGAAACTTTATCAGATTGAATTGTGGTGGTTTTGGATTCGAGAAATTAATTAAACGAATATATTCTACCGATCCATATCTTTGCTAATAAGCTCAGATACAGATCAAAAGCCAACTTAGTGATTGCCTAACTCAAGACAAAAATTTAAGCTTTTACCACTTCATAGTAGGAAGGATAGGTATGTGCAAAGGATGCTCCATGCAGTTTTCACCTATGATATCCTGAACTGCCACCCACAATGTAAATTACAAATAATATTTGAAATTGTTGTTTTATGTTGGATTTAATTCAGTTATGTAGACAAACATTAGGATGAAAATCTCTTACTTGGGATTAACTAGTATTGAGAAAATATATCAAATAGTAAGACATCCACCTAATTTATTATATCAACCAGAAGTGACTCAAGTATGAAAGATTATTAACTTATAAAAAAAGATTAAATAAACTTTCTTTTACTACATGTGTCTGTGTGTATATGTGCATATATAATTAAATATACTAAAAGAATGGACTAACCGTCGGACTAGGTGATCTTCCATCTCAGGAGAGAAAAATGTTTCCTTACAAAGAGGCAAGGAAGTTGAGAAAGCTTTAGCAGCCAAACTGAGTGTCACCTGGTAAGAGTCCATGTATCAGTTAAAATGGAAAAGAAGATCCAATTTGATGGAGTCAAAGACCAAAGAAAATCATAAAATTTCATTACATCTCTAAAGAACCCAAATAGGGGTGTAACGAAAATTCATTAGTTTTTTAAACGGACCCAAGCCAGATTTAGTTGGAATTCTCCAAATTGGGCAACCCAACATGCACCCATAAAATCTAAACCTTTTTTGTTAACTCAAGAACTTGACACCACATGATAATATGTAACTGTACATATGACAAAAAAAAGATACATATGACAGTGTGAAATTAAACAGATACAGCCATGGAAACCTTTTCCATAGAACATCAGATAAGATAGAAAAGAGAGAACTACTAGTAATAATAGAATTTGATCAATGTGATAAAGTCCATTGAATCTTTTGTTACTTGCCATTAAGATAGTAAAGTAATGAAATTTCAACTTCTTGAAGGAATACAACCTCAAAACTTATAATACCATTGATAGAGTAGAATATACCACTTGAAGGATAAGTTAAATGCTCCAGCCAATATCTTCCAGTCAATGAAAAAATACAAATAAATGCTCATTATCTTCCTTTGAAGGGGAAAAGTTAATACCTTGAAAGCAGCAATAGGTTTTGAAAGAAGATATCGCCACACTAACCCACTACAATTGTAAAATGCATATGTCAGAGGAGTTGGACACACTAAATGAAGAAAATGCAAAAGATATACTATATAAGGAATTACCCATTTCCTGAAGGAGGTACAGAGCAGATAAGAACAGCCCCTGCAAGTCTTGGGAGCAAATTATCCCTTCCTACATTTAACAAATAGATATATTACAAGAAAAAAGAAAACATAGGTAGCAACTGTAGCATGTCAACTACATATATAATATAAGCAGTCAGCCTTTTTTTCTTCCTGATTGACACCTTATTTTAACAATGGATATGACACTAAACAGAATGGAATGGTGAAAAAAGGATTCACGCAGCAAATCCCATATAGTTGGGATAAGGCTTGGACAATGATGATTGACACATTATTTCAATTCAACCAAGAACCTTACACAAAACTGAGCTATACCAGATTATTACCTGAGGAATGTTCTGTCCTCATGTCTGATAGGTAGGACTGAACAATAAGTCCCCCAAACGAATGCCCAATCAGCACTGGTGACAACCTGACTTCTTTCTGGATGAAATCAGCAATATCATTTGCATGCGTCTACTGCAAAATTTTGCAATGAGCAAGACTAGATGAGTAAATTTGCTCTAGGACCTTACAAAATTTTGATTGGGTGAAACCTTTTTTATTGGTTGGAACTTGGAACCTTGAAAATGTTTTGGAACAAAATACAAAGAGGAAGGGTTCATCAATTATTTGGCTACTCAAAGCCACTACTTTGCAGCAAAGAATTGAAAAAACAAAGAAATACCTGAAGAGAGCCAGCTACTTTTCCAGCAGGAGAATCACTTTCACCCTGACCATGTGACAAAGACACGTTAAACCAGAAACAGCATTGCAAGGATACGTAAGAGAGTCATGCTCAATGTTACACGTAACAGTTTTTGAAGTGTTTCTCTTGTGTTTCCGTGTGATTATCAAAAAATAACACCTTAAAATGAAGCACGAAATGTTTATGAATAAAAGGTACAAAGACAAAATGCATGGTGTAAAAGAAAAAGATTGCAGAGGAAAGATGCTAAATATAAGTGTTAGTCGTATCACTTGGAAGTCATAATAATTTCTGGCACTCCATCAACAGGGCTGGTTTGAGAAAGAGTCAAACAATCAATGTTCTTCCATGTTCCAGAAAGATACTAATGCACACAAACACAGGCAAATAACAACAACAACAACTAACAATACCATTTATCAGTTAAAATAGGACAAAGTCATTCTAGAACACCTTTTTTTCAATATAAAAGGAGGAAAAAACAAACTCTTGTGTCCTGCTATTTGATTTCCACTATTTATTTTGATGAGAAGTGTTAAGGTGTTAAGGTTGAGGATGAAATAATTAAGTTGTAATTAGGTGGTACTCATCATTATACCACAAAAAAAAATGTTTAAAAATGGCAGGCAAACAACTCAGAGTAAAATATTTTCTCAAACAATTCAGAAAAAAAATGTCATGAAAAATTGACAATATGATCAACCACCATTTTACCATCTTTCCTTCCACATCTCTGACATTTGGAGAAGGGGAGGCTGCATTAGACTGGAATCCAATCATTACAATTGTTCCCAGCACCTTGATTAGCTCTCAGATTAGTTTGAATTAAAATACCCAAAGGTGTCAGGTGGAAGGTATAAACTTTATTATAAAAAACCAACACAAAAAGTAGGCCCTCAGGGTGGGTAGGTTGGAGGTAAAGGGGGCATAATCAATGGATCTGGATTGGGACACCAAAATAGAAGTTGCAGCTGAATGTGTATTACAAGTTCAGTACATGAATTATGCTAGTCATTTAGTTCAATGTGATCAATATTTTACACCGTTTGAAAGATCAAGCTCAACTCAAATAAAGTTTGGGAGAAAAAGAAATATCCCATTTTTTTATTTCATTTGAAGGGCTACAAACGGGGGTAGCCCATCCCCCAACCCAGGTGCAGGAGGGATTCGATCCCAAGTCTCTGCTACGACGAGCAGGAGACCTTACCAACCAGCTGGTTGGCACCTTACTCTATATTTAATTATTTACTTTTTATTTCAGGCAAATAAATGGCAAGAACCAAAGTGGCGAATCATTATGTCAAGGTTGTTTGTTACCAAAGAAAATGTCAAGGTTGTTTACTTCCCATGACAATTTTACAAGGAAATAACAGATCCTTAAATAGAAATTTGTACTGAAGGAGTACAAAGCCATGCTGTGGAGTAAGGAGAGAAATTTGTACTGAAGGAAAATAGAAAGACAACAATGATGGCTGTTGACAAGTGTATTTTATGTACTGTACGCAGGTTTAGTGCCTGCAGGGGTATTTTTGTAATTTTTGTAGTCCTCTTGTGTTGTACGGCCAGTATAGGTGTGTTGAACCACCACTTGTATTGCTTATATTGCTGTTCCTACCGTGAAGCTGCATGAAAGTTGTAAAATTGTAAGTCATTTAAACCTGGTTACACTGCAAGTGCAGTGTTCGTATATTGTTCTGTGGACTCCTACAAAGCGTAGGTCATACAAACTAGTACGCAGCTGCAGTGTTTGTGCTTTGGTTCTCTGTGAAACCGAAAATCAGCAAGTGCCTAGTTGTGGACTGTAGCAGCTCTATAAGGCAGTGTACCTTTGTTTTGAGTTCTTCTAAACCTAGAACCATGAATAAGGAAAAATTGTGGTGCACTAATTGTCAGAAGCCCTAACACACCAAAGATACTTGTTGGGATCTCCATGGGAAACCAAAGTGAGCTCAGGATTTACCTAAGAAGCAAGGTTCAGATGTAATTAGAAGACTCGGGCAACAAGGTACCAAGAAACACCACATGATCAATATGGTTACTCGGGAAAATCAGCCCTCCACTTCTACTATGACTCAAACACCACATGGCCAACATAGCTACTCTGGATCTGACCCAAGGGAGGATATTGTAAACTCCTTCYGTGACCATTTGGAGCTTTATGGTAGAGCAATTCGCCAGGTGGATGCTCCTCCCACCACCTCTTTTGCATCGACATCAGGTAATCTTGCCACAACTTTCCATGCTGCTTCTCACAACCTTGACTCTCCATGGATCATCGATTCTAGAGCGTCAAAACACATGACTGGTATGTCCTCTTACTTTCAAACTTATCACCCTTTTTCCGGAAGAGATAAAGTGAGACTAGCTGATGGATCATACACTTCCATAGCTGGTCAAGGAACTGTCTCTCTTCCCCTCGGCCTTACTCTTTCTGATGTT